TTTGTATTATTTCTTACAATTGCATGTGAATCTATAATTATCTCAAAATCAAAACTTAATTTAGACAAAATTATTTGAGTGTCCCCTATATGCATAGCACAGCTGAGGAAATACAAAGGTAAATAAGATGGTTTACTGCACTTGGAATTACAGCTTATTATGGGGCTAAACATATATACATAAATAACTAAATTTTAAGGCAAAAAATTTATGTCAGGAGTATTTTAAAATACAGTTAGACTTACCTGACCACTTCACAACCACTAGGATAGCTATTATCAACAACAGAAAAAACAAAGCTAAAACATAGTAAGTGTTGGCAAGAGTGTAGAGAAACAGGAACCTGTGTGTGCTGTTGTTGGGAATGTAAAATGGTACAGTCATTGTAGAAAACAGTACAAAATTCCCTTGAAAAATTAAAAATAGAATTGCCATATGATCCAGAAATTCAGCTTCTGGATATAAATCCAAAAGAACTGAAAGAAAGGCCTTGAAGAGCTATTTGTACACTCGTTCATAGCAGCATTATTCACAATAACTAAAACATAGAAGCAACCCAAGCATCTATCAAATGATGAATGATAAGCAAAATGTAGTATATTCATACAATGGAATATTATTCAGCCTTAAGATAGAAATTCTGTAATATAACACTGATGAACTTTGAGGACATTATGCTAAGTGAAAAAAGCAGTCACAAAAAGACAAATACTTGGCACAAAAACAGACACAAGATCAATGGAACAGAATAGAGAGCCCAGAAATGGACCCTCAACTCTATGGTCAACTAATCTTCGACAAAGCAGGAAAGAATGTCCAATGGAAAAAAGACAGTCTCTTCAACAAATGGTGTTGGCAAAATTGGACAGCCACATGCAGAAGAATGAAACTGGACCATTTCCTTACACCACACAAAAAAATAGACTCAAAATGGATGAAAGACCTAAATGTGAGACAGGAATCCATCAAAATCCTTGAGGAGAACACAGGCAGCAACCTTTTTGACTTCAGCCACAGCAACTTCTTCCTAGACACATCACCAAAGGCAAGTGAAGCAAGGGCAAAAATGAACTATTGGGACTTCATCAAACTAAAAAGCTTTCGCACAGCAAAGGAAACAGTCAACAAAACCAAAAGATAATTGACAGAATGGGAGAAGATATTTGCAAATGACATATCAGATAAAGGGCTAGTATCCAAAATCCATAAAGAACTCATCAAACTCAACGAACCCAAAGAACAAAAAATCCAATCAAGAAATGGGCAGAAGACATGAACAGACATTGCTGCAAAGAAGACATCCAAATGGCCAAAAACACATTTAAAAGTGCTCAACATCACTCAGCATCAGGGAAATCCAGATCAAAACCTCAATGAGATACCACCTCACACCAGTCAGAATGGCTAAAATTAACAAGTCAGGAAACGACAGATGCTGGTGAGGATGCAGAGAAAGGGGAACCCTCCTACACTGTTGGTGGGAATGCAAGCTGGTGCAGCCACTCTGGAAAACAGTATGGAGGTTCCTCAAAAAGTTGAAAATAGAGCTACGCTATGACCCAGCAATTGCACTACTGGGTATTTACCCCAAAGATACAAATGTAGTGATCCAAAGGGGCACATGCACCCCAATGTTTATAGCAGCAATGTCCACAATAGCCAAACTATGGAAAGAGCCTAGATGTCCATCAACAGATGAATGGATAAAAAAGATACGGTATAGGGGTGCCTGGGTGGCTCAGTCGTTAAGTGTCTGCCTTCGGCTTAGGTCATGATCCCAGGGTCCTGGGACTGAGTCCTGCATCAGGCTCCCTGCTTGGTGGGAAGCCTGCTTCTCCCTCTCCCACTCCCCCTGCTTGTTCCCTCTCTCGCTGTGTCTCTCTCTGTCGAGTAAATAATCTTAAAAAAAAAATCTAAAAAAAAAGAGAGGAAGATATGGTATATATATATATATATATATATATATACACACACATGCAGCCATCAAAAAATGAAATCTTGCCATTTGCCACGATGTGGATGGAATTAGAGGGTATTATGCTAAGCGAAATAAGTCAATTAGAGAAAGACAAGTATCATATGATCTCACTGATATGAGGAATTTGAGAAACAAGGCAGAGGATCATAGGGGAAGGAAGGGAAAAATGAAACAAGACGAAACCAGAGAGGGAGACAAACCATAAGAGACTCTTAATCTCAGGAAACAAACTGAGGGTTGCTGGACTGGAGGGGGGTGGGAGGGATGGGGTGGCTGGGTGATGGACATTGGAGAGGGTATGTGCTATGGTGAGCACTGTGAATTGTGTAAGACTGATAAATCACAGACCTGTACCTCTGAAACAAATATGTTAATAAAAAAAAGACAAATACTGTATGAATCCACTTACATGAGGTACTTAGAGTAGTAAAGTACAATGATGGTTGCCAGGGGCTGGGGAAAGGGGAAAATAAGGAGTTATTGTTTAATAGCTACAGAGTTTAAGATTTACAAGATGTAAAGAGTTATGGTGGTGATGGGTGCACAACCATGTGAATGTATTTAATACCAATGAACTGTACACTTAAAAATAGTTAAGATAGAAAAGGTTATGTGTATTTTAACATAATAAAAGAAAAAATAGAAAAAATAATATGAGAATAGTAAAGAAACTACAAAACTTGAAGTAAACATCCTTAAAATGTTTAAAAATTAATATAAATCACTTTCAACTTTATATATTGTACTTCTAAGGGTAATGATTTTAAGGTTTAAAGAAAATTACTGGTACTGGTACATATCCTACTTGGTCATGGTGTATTATTATTTGAATAAGCTTTGGGATAATATTTCTGGCATTTCATTTTAATATTGTTTCATTTGCAATGACATGTATTACTAATTTTCCAATTTGAAAAGAGCAAATAAAAAATATTTTTAAAGAAAAAATTAAGGACATGTTTTTTGAATTTTTACAGTGAAAATCTATTCATGAGTTACTTCCATCATTAAAAAATTCTTGCTAAAATAAGAAAAATAATTTAAAGGAAGAGTCAGAAAATTCTTGCATGTACCACTTCATTAATAAAATATTAACAGTGGATTCTTACAGAAACCAACAGACACACGATTCTTAAATGCATCATATCCTCCTAACAAACAGTAGACTAACAAAATAAAAAAACTGGAAATGTAAAGACCAAAATTTGTTGACTTTTTAAAAAGTTTTTAAATTCCAGTTCATTAACATACAGTGTAATATTAGTTTCAGGTGCACAATATAGTGATTCAACACTTCCATATAACACCCAGTGCTCATCACAATAAGTGCACTCCTTAATCCCCATTACCTATTTAACCCATCCCCCCACCCACCTCCCTTCTGGTCACCATCAGTTTGTTATCTATAGTTAAGAGTCTGTTTCTTAGTTTGCCTTTCTCTCTTTTTTTCCCCTTTGCTCATTTGTTTTGTTTCTTAAATTCCACATATGAGTGAAATCATATTGTATTTGTCTTTCTCTGACTTATTTCACTTAGTATAATGCTCTCTAGCTCCATCCATGTCATTGCAAATGGCAAGATTTCATTCTTTTTTATGGCTGAGTAATATCCCATTGTATATATATGCCACATCTTTATCCATTCATCCATTGGTGGACACTTGGGCTGTTTCCATAATTTGGCTACTGTACATAATGCTGCAACAAATATGGGGATGCATGTATCCCTTTGAATTAGTATTTTTGTATTCTTTGGGTAAATTCAATTACACTGTGCAACTTGTCTACATATCCCTTTAGGATCCAGGCTCCAATGATCTCTCCAGATACATCTCTAGCCACTTTCACCTGCGCATGCTACAATGGCCATTGCAAATCACTTACTATTCACTCGAGAATTCATTTATAACTCCATACCATTGTCTATGTTGTTGTTCTCTCTGAATAGGATGCCTCCTCCCTTTTGAGCTCAGCAGTATATCCTTGTGAACTCCTCCCTGACACTCACAGGCCAATTAGGAATTCCCTCTTTCAAACCTTGAATATTTTTTATTAGTATAATATTCATACCAAATAATTTGTATCTCAATACTGGGAGGTCCTTGAGGGCAAGGGCCTGTCTCTCTTTTTCTTTTTCTCTTTTTTCTTTCTTCCTACCTTCCTTCCTTCTTTCTTTATTTCTTCTTCTTTTTTTTTTTTTGAGTATAGATGACACATGATGTTACATTAGCTTCAAGTGTGCAACACATTGGTTCAACAACTCTATATGTTAGGCTATGCTCATCACAAGTGTAGCTACCATCTGTCATCATGCAAACCTATTACAAAACCATTAACTATATATTCCCTATGCTGTACCTTTTATCACCATGATTTATACATTCCATAACTGGAAGCCTGTATCTCTCACTCTCCTTCACCCATTTTGCCCATCCCCCCCGCCATTCCCTTCTGGCAACCATCATTTTGTTCTCTGTATTTATGGGTTGGATTATTCATGTTTTGTTTTATAGATTCTACATATAAGTGAAATCATATGGTATTTGTCTTTCTCTGATGTATTTCACTTAGCATAATATCCTCTAGGTCCATCCATGTTTTGAACCTTATGTTCACAGTGGCAAGCACAATGTCAGTAGACACAATCAAATGAATTACAGCTTAAAAGAACCCAACCAGTTAAATAAATTTAGCTTATCAACTTTAATATCATTAAAGTTATAATTTAGCTGAATAAACCTCAACTTCATAGTTCTTTGCTGATTGCTATGTTAATGTGTTTTATAATTCTTCTGGCTAAAAGTAAATGCAAATTAAATACTCAAAGGAAAAGTTTCTGTTACTTTCTTGAATTGTTGGAATACAGCTGTCATCAATTTATCTTTTGGACTTTAGAAATAAAATCTAAAGTTGATAGACATGGTTTGATGTAATATTTTATAAAAAAAGAGTTTGATTTTCTAAAATTGTAATTTTATAGTAACAATAATATTAAAAGAACCATTTAAAAATGTATTACATACCATTTCTATTTCTTGATCTTTGGCAACCAGCTGTCGATTAAGAAGTTCTTTGCTTGAGTCAAGTTTAATACAAAGTTCCCTTGTGGAAGATAAATCTGCAAGGGCAGACACTTTTTCAAACTGAACCTTCTGAAGTTCCTCTTCCATCTTTACAACAGACTTGTGTAAGGTAGAAATCTGGGACTTGTAAGACCTTTCTGCATTTAAGTGCTGCAAAGCAAAATTATTATTTTATATATATACATACATACATACATACATATTTTTTAATTTGAAAAAACTAAAACATGGAAAACAAAGTGGGGAAATCTTTTGATGATACACTTAGATTATAAGGAACTTTATACAATATAGGTGGTAATAGTATGTACAAAACACCCTGGGAAAGACAAACTCAGCTTTCAAATGTCTATACACAAAATCCATGAGTAAGTTGGTCAACTGGCCATTATTTTTAATGTGTTTAGAAAACAACTTTCCCCCTGTGAAGTCTCAAATCGAAAGCTAGTTGAGATACATACATGTTTGGTCTGTAGTTCTATTTTTGCCACAGTTTCATTTATTCTATAAGATAAATATTATTGTTGTTAAAGACAAAACATTAGCCACCACTGTTTCACTCCTAATACCCATTTTCCAATTCTTAAATGGCATGTTGACCTAGATCATAATATCATAAAATGAGGACTGATAGGTCTCTAGCACTTATTAATAACTCTGAGGGAAAAAGACTCTAGGCAAGTATAAATTAAGGATAAATCCACATTATGGGAAATAAGAGCATGTTTTAAAAACTGCACGATGAGATTCAAGTTATATAAATGCTTTTAAAAGTCCAAGATAATACCACCCCTTTTTTTTGTTTCAGAGAAATATCTTACGTAAGTGCACTGCCACCTACAGAGAAGTTTTTGCTATTATGTGAAGCTGACAGAACTGAGAGACAAAGACATTTTCCTGCTTTTACAAGTACATAGCACACAAAAAAATTGCTCCTAGAATAAGTTATTTGGCCACAGTTCTCCCTCCCTTCCTTCCTCACTCACTCTATTTCTCACTCATTCTTCAAACAACCTTCTATCCATCCATCCACCCATCCATCTATCCACCCATTTCATTTTTTTTAGTATATTCTGTGTTCCAGTCAATGTACCTAGATGCATATCCAGTGATAAACAAAATAGTCTCTGTTCTCATGACACTTCCAGACTATGGGGGAGCCATGAATTAGTCAAATAATCACACAAATGACTAAATACATATTAAGCAAATACTTCTAGAGGGGAAAAAAAAGTGTATAACAAAGTAAAGTGATCTAGACTAAGAGGGTCAGAGAAGTCAGGAAAGGCTTCCCTGAGTAAATGACACATTAGCTGAGATGTGAATGGTGTGTAGATAGATATACAGTGTGGGTAGGGGAAGGTGGCTTTTCAAACTGAAGGAATGCTAAATTCAAAGGCCTCAAAGGGAGTGTGTTGAGGGAGGGAAAATGACATGCTCCAACAACAAAGAGAAGACTAGTATGGCTAGAGCTCAGAGACCACAGAGAAGAGTGATAGAATATGCATTTGAAAAGGTATTCAAAAACTCACAAGACAGAGCCTGATAAACTGGGTTAAAATTTAGCTCTTTATCCACAGAAAAAAGAGGGAGGTAATATGATCAGTTTTGTGCTTTGGAAAGATAATACTAGATATTTCAGGTTCTAGTAAGATAGTTGATTAAGCTAAGAGGAAAACATTTTGGGTAAAATAGAATTTTTTTTTTTTTTTAACAATTCATAGCTGAGCTTGCAGGAAAGAAAAATAAATTTGCATATGCCAAAGACAAAGATAAAACAAAGTCAGAGCTGTAAACAACTGAGAAGGCCTGTAGCTAAAAGATGGGGGTAGGAAGACCCAGTGACAGTGAAAGGCTTGTGTTTAAACATTGAAGCAAGGACAGGAAACAAGAAGTTAGGACTAATGGTTAACTGGAACTGGGTCCTCTACATAATTTGGAACACTTGAAAAGAGGCTCCAGAGGAAAAATCCACTCAATCTCACAAAGATACAACTGAAAGTTTATCTTCTCCTACTCTCTAAGTAGGGAAAAAATGTCTTCTGTAAGGAACCTTAGGTCTAACTTTATTCAGTTTTGGAGTCTGACTGCACACTACCCACTCCCAATTCTAAACTTTAACATAAAGTTTGTCTCATGCCAATGATAACACAGAGTCCCTATGCAGAAGCAAACCCATATCCTTGGCCATAAAAAGATTCTGCAGGAAAGTCCTGCTTTAAAGGAGCTTACAAACTCAGGGTGACTTAATCCACCATGAGTGAGAGTCAGAGCAACATAAAACATAGCAGGAACAGAATTCTAGAACTTCAAGATATTAAACAAAATATTTTAGAAGACATGAAAAATATGCTTAAAAGTATTAAAGACATTAAAGGAAAAAATGAAAAGAATGAGACTTAGGAAAAAACAGGAAAATCTGAAGAAGAACCAAGAGAGCTTCTGGAAAGAAAGGAAAAGTAGTTAATAAATGGTGTGTACATAGAATGTATCAGAAAACAGAACGAATGCATCAAAGAACAGACTAGTACAGCTGAAGAGGGAAGAATGAACTAGAAGACAGATCACAGCACAGAGAAACATATGGAAACTATGATTAAAAATATTAATGAACATTTGGACTAGGAGATCCAACAAGCATATTATAAAGATTGAGAGAGACAGTAGAGTGAATTTAAAGGTGGTAATATTCAAATAAATAACATCTAAAAATTTTCCAGACCTACTAAAAGTATTCATACTCTGAAAAACTGCAAAGCCAAACCCTTTCAATAAACCCCAAAACCATACCTAGACATATATAGTCAAACTTCAAAGAGAAAAATAAGACCTTAAAAGAAAACAATGGCAAAAGACAGACTTACATAGAAAAAAATTAGAATGAGAACAGACTTCTCAACAAATTATTTTTAAAGTTATCAAAGGAAATAACCCTCAACCTAGAATTCTACACTCAGCTAACCTAATACTCAAAAATGAGGGTAAATTAAATCCATTTTCAGGCAAAGACTGAGAAAATTAACTCACAAATCAAAGAAAGGAAGTAGTCTCAAGAAAGAAATTGAACTTAGAGTAAGAAATAGAATGCAAGAAGCAATGTTGAAAAATTTGGTAAACATATAAATGGATACAAATAAGCATTGACTCAAAGAATAAGAGCAAGAGTAGTGATTTATTTTTAAGACTATAAAAAGCCAATGTGGATCTAAAAGAGTACACAACTATATTATAACAGATTGGGCTTGTGTAAAAGAGAGAAGGGGGAGGGAGAGAATAAGAAAACACATTCATTAGTAAGCAGGATGTTGTGCTCAATATTCAAATATTTTTAGGACCACATATTGTTTAGGAGGAGTGTTGGAAATACTAACAAAAGACTTTTTAAAGTATGTATATTACAAATTTAACTACTAAAAGAATAGGTTGAAAATATATAACTTCCAAACCAATAAGTAGCAAGGGTAGAAAGTGGGTAAAGAAACAAATATATATAAGATAAAGGAAAGAAAGAAAGATAAAAGAATCAGGATAAGAATAAAGTATAAATTAAAAAAAAATGGAAATAGTAAACATAAATGAGCCAGCAATTCAAACACAAATGGTAAACTTATTAGTTAATAGAAAGATATTCTCAGATTGAATTTTTTAAAAATTAGGATATATGATGCTTATTAGAGACAAACAGTCGAAAAAGATTAAGAAAAGATATATAATACTTCTGTTTCCAGCCTTGATAGAATAACTGAGACTGAACTTATCTTTCCTCTGTTAACAAATGGAAAACTAGGAAGGAAGGAAGCAAGTAAGGAAGGAAGGAAGAAAGAAAGGAAGGAAGGGAGGAAGAGGGAAGGAGGGTGGATTGCTTCTAGATATTGGACAACAGGCAGCACAGGGCTGTGATCTCTGAGAAAAGGAAAACAAACAAGATGAGCCCTATGATCATTCCAGCTTTCTGTCAGGAGACAATTTTCCAGTGTTCAGTTCAGAGAAAGAAATTTCAATCAGAGCACAGTTGATTTGCTGAGGAGACAGAAATAAGCATGTGAAATATGTGGGGTAGGGTTCAGAAATGAAGGATCTATACACACAAAAAAAGACATCCAGAAATTTGCCTAGGAGTCTTCTTGAGTCTGTTGCTGAATACTAAGCCATGAATATATATTGTGAAACTCCAGAAGGCTGAGAAAGAAAACCAGAGAGCTCTAAATTAACCAAAACCACAGCTGATACACAGTTGGAAAAATGTTTATGTTTGAACCTGCCAAAGTGAGAGTCCTTAATGAATATCCCGGGTTGGGCATTTAATAGAGAACACAGAAAGGTCACACCATAGTGGTAGGGTTAAACTACTTTTACAGAAAAGGCTACTTGAAGCCTGCCTCATCAAAGCTTAAAGACAATATCGAAAGTATCAGTTGATCTGCAAGTAATTTAACAGCCTGCCAGAACAAATCCAACACTCTTAAAAGGAAGACACTAAGTCTAAAATTCACAACATCCAGAACCCAGTTAAGAAAATATCAGACAGGGGTGCCTGGGTGGCTCAGTGGGTTAAGCGTCTGCCTTAAGCTCAGGTCATATCTGGGTCCCAGGATCGAGCCCTGTGTTGGGCTCCCAGCTCAGCGGGGAGTCTGCTTCTACCTCTCCCTTTGCCCCTCCCACCACCACGCCCCCTCTCATGGCTCATGCTCTCTCTCTCAAATAAATAAATAAATATTTTTTTAAAAAATACCAGATATGTAAAGATGCAGAAATATAACCTATAGCAGGATAAAAATTAGTCAATGTAAGTGGATGCAAAATTGACAAAGATGATGGTATTTGAAACAGTCAACAAAACTGAAAGATAACCTATAGAATGGGAAAAGATATTGCAAATGTCTTATCAGATAAAGGGCTCGTATCCAAAATCTATAAAGAACTTATCAAACTCAACACCAAAAAACAAACAAACAAACAAATAATCCAGTCAAGAAACGGGCAGAAGATCTGAACAGACATTTCTCCAAAGACATATACAAATGGCCAACAGACACATGAAAAATGCTCAACATCACTGGGCATCAGGGAAATACAAATCAAAACCACGAGATATCACCTCACACCAGTCAGAATGGCTTAAATTAACAAGTCAGGAAACAACAGATCTT